AGACAGGGTTTCTCTGTATAGCTTTGCGCCTTTCCTGGATCTCACTCTGTAGGCCAGGCTGGCCTCAAACTCACAGAGATCCACCTGGCTCTGCCTCCTGAGTTCTAGGATTAAAGGCATGCGCCACCACTGCTCAGCTGTATTGATAGGAGGCATCACTGTGAAGCAGAGAGTATATTTCAGGTCCCTTCTTGAGTACCACAGGTGGAGAAATTTCTGTTTTAAAACACATCAAAGAAAACAAAAATGAATTAAAATCATTCTGGAGTCAGTTTTTTCCAGGGCCAAGTTCATTTGATGAAATTCACCCGTTTTCTTACAGAGTGGTAGTGGCTGTTCTAAACAGGGGGGCTCTAAGCCTTGGGGGCCGACACTTTCAAGATGGCCCTTTGGTAAAGTAGCAGAAAGGGCAGCTTTCTCCCTGGGTGTTTTATTTTATCCAGTGTGAAAACGGCAGGCTGAGGACATTTCATAATACAGCCTGTTTTCATGCTTCACGTTACAGACCGGCAGGGTTTGGATATCTTGGACCAGGCCCAAGTGTCTGCATCTGCCTGCCTTTGCCCATCAATATTTGAAACCTGTCAGTTCCCAACACTGAGTCCTTGTAATGACAGACAGCAAACTGGATGTGAGACTGTAAAAATAATGTCCACCTGCCTCAGTAAACTCATCACCTAGCTCCTGGCCAGCCACATGACCCATCGGGAGGATGAGCTGGGACAAATTGGAGGCTACATTTTAAGGAGAAAGAATCACCTACTTTTATTATTAAAGAATAGATACCTCACTGGGTGGTGGTAGTGCACGCCTTTGATCCCAGCACTCGAGAAGCAAAGCCAGGCAGATCTCTGTGAGTTCGAGACCAGCCTGGTCTATAGAGCGAGATCCAGGACAGGTACCAAGACTACACAGAGAAACCCTGTCTCAACAAAAACCAAAAATGAACTCTTGTTCTCTCCTTTCTTCATAAAATATGTCAACTGTTGTTTGTGGGAATCCTGTATATCAAGTTTTGTCCTTTTAAAATCACTGTGTGTTATTATAGCTTCAGATATCGATATTTCAAATATATGGTAACGTCCCAAACTGTAATTTCTAGAATTAAATTTATAGGACGTTGTCGGTCCAGGTTTTCATACTAAGTTTTAATAACATGATGTAAAGAAAAATAGGGCTTTCAAATCATAGACAGACAGATAGAAATTTAATTTAGACCTCTAGCGTCTGCTTGCAAACGACTCACATCTGTAAGTTGGATTGAGCTTCTTGCCACATATTCATAAACCCTCGACACTTTCAAATACCAGGGGGAAGTGTGCAAGATAAACACCACCTCAAAACTAATTGTTGAGCTGTTCGTATCGACTGAATTAATAGTCCCAAACATTATCGGGAGTGGAAAGTTAGTGAGCAGAGTGGTACGGGCACGGACATGTATAGAAATGTCTTCACAATGGCTTAGGATAGAATGGAGGAAAAAACTTCTGCCTTTCATCATTCTTGGAATTTGAAACTTTTTTTTTTTTTAAATTCCAGGATCATAGGGATTAGCCATTTTGTAAACACACAAACTCTTAATTCTCTGAGCTGGTCTATGAATTTCACAGCCCTTGGGGATCCAGAAAACTGAGTTTAATAATGCTTTAGAACAATGGCCCAGTTCAATTTGATTTAGCTGTTTTATAAATAATCCAATGGCAGATGAATTCAAGTAGCTTTGCTTCAACTTCCCCAAGCATGTGACAGTGATTTTCAGGCTGGGAACGCGACTTGGAACGCTTGGTACTTGCAGTCTGCTCTGGGTTAGTGAATGTTTGAGACCATCCATGACAGTCTTCACTGAGCCGGGCAATGCCTGGATCATGACTACTTCAAATGTTCACTATTCGAGAATTTAAGAAAAAAAAATTAAGAAAATTCCAGTGTTCCTTAGTTTTGTGAAACTCCCTCTTTGGGTTCAAGGTCACTGATGAATCAAAAAGTTGTCACAAGTGGACTTACATTTCATGTTCACTGGACTGAATTATTCTTATCCTTCTTGTCATTTATGATCTGCAATCCTTCTCCAGCAAAGGGAAATGGAGGGGACACACGGGTGATTTCACAGCGAAAGCTGTCCTGTCGTGGAGTCTGGTGGTTTGTGAAGTGCTTTCCACAAAAGGCATCCAGTAGGGTTCGCCCACTCACATGACGAGTGCCATGCCGCCTCACTGTACAGTCAGGGGCAGCAGACACATTCAAGGTCGCCTTGTGTGGAGGAGTTCATTAACATCTCCTGCTTTTCTCATGCCAGGGGCCACTTTAATTAAAAGCAGGAGACACTCTTCTAATCGCTCTAGTCTTTTCAGAAGATCAATTTGGATTTTCCACACAATTTCTCAGCTTTCTGCCAACATTGTAGTTACAGGCACAGAAGATGTTTCTCTAGTGTGACTGTCTCCGGTGTCTTCCTGTGGTCTTTTCATAATGGAGAGAGAGAGAGAGAGAGAGAGATCCAGAATATATAAAGAATTCAAAATATTAAATAGCAAAAGAGCAAAGAATTTAAGCAATAAGTCTATAAATGAATGGAACATGTGATCCTCAAAAGAAAAAATACAAATGGTGAATAAATACATTGAAGATTTTCAAGATCTTTAGCTGTTGGGGAAATGGAGATGGAAACTACAATGAGATCCCATTCCACCTCAGTCAGAGTGGTTATCACCGGGAAAATAAAAACAAATAAACCAACAAATCAACATTTGAGGAAAAAAATGAACATGGATATACTGTCAGTAGGAATGTAAATTAGGACATCTGCTGTAAAAATCATTATGGAAGTTTCTTAAAGAACTACAATAGAAGTCATGTATGGCCCACCTGAGGCACTGCAGGGTATAAGCCAGAAGGAATCAAAGACATATTACAGTGTTACTATACATCCGTGTTTACCTCAGCCCTACTCAAAATAGCTGAGAGGTGGAGCCTGACTAGGTGTCCATCAACAGATGAATGGGTAAAGAAAGTGTGGTCTATATGCACAAGGGAGTATTATTCGGCCAGACAAAAGGACAAAATCCTGTGTTTGCAAGAAAAAAAAATGGAACTTTAAAAAACAAAAACAAACTCAGAAAGATAAGCAAGCATCATGGAACTTCAGTCATATATGTAGTGGAGGGTAACATAACAGAAAAGTGAGGACTGTTGGGTATGTGAAAGGGGACAAGGGGAGGTGAGGGACAAGAGAGTGTCACAGAGAGGGAGAATATGATCCACGTCCATTACATGAATGTATGGAAATGTCACAGTGAAGCCCTTTAGTTGTACAGTTAATACACTAATAAAATGATGTGAACCCCTGATAGTTGAGAGGGAGGAACTCGGAATGTGGAACCCTATCTGATTTCAGGGTCTTATTCAAAAGGCAGGATTGGGCTTCAGGAGAGGTTGAATGTTAACGGGGCAACAGCCCTGGATCTACTCAGATAAAAGGGAGCATTATTGAGCTGGCTGGCTCGAGCCCAAAGGAGAATGAGCTTTCTCTGGTGCAAATTGCCTCGCACTTCGACACAGTACCGGCACTGCAAATGGGACATATTTCTTCTCCACCTAAAGCCCAAGTATCATATTTTCTTCTTCTGAATGCAATGATTAAGCCATTAAGAAGGAGGCTCCTGCACTGGACTGCGTTGGAAAGAAAGCATCAAGAAGGGCCTGGAGAAAGCACTTCGTTTCTGAAGTTTCACCATTCATTCAGTGAGCTCCAGCATGCTAGAAAGACAGGCAGGCAGGGTCCATTCTTGGGAGGGAGTTCAATTCGTGTGGCCGGTGGGTTGAGAAAGTCCAACCCACAGTTTCATCTAGACACAGTGCAGCTTCTGCTAGGAGATGTCATGGACTCCCGAAAACCAAGCTTCATGATGTGTGCCTTAACTGGGGGTGGGGGGGGGGCAGGAAAACATTATCCACGTTTTCACCAGTCTCTGAATGAAACTCAGCATTTCCGTCCACTGCTAATCAAAACAACACAGCCCCACAGTGCTAGCCTTGATCTTGGACTTGGCAGTAGGGTCAGTGGTTATTTTTCTAGGAAGTTTTCACTGTTCTACATCGCTCTCAATGTTGTTCAAATTTGTTGTTTCTCTGACATGACTGGAGCTGAATCTTCTGCTGGATTTTGTTATTAATGAATCAGAAATGCAATGTTATTGTGCCGCAAGTTTATTTTTACATATTTCTGATGACTTTATTTCAGTATAATTGGATTTTTTTTGTAGCACTAGACACATTTCATTGTCTATATTTAAAAAACATTGGAGAATGAATTTGTGGACTTTTCACACTGTCAGTGGGGACCATGGCACAAAACAAAATAATAGCTTTGAAAAGGGTTCTGTTGTTGAGATGAGCTTTTATGTGTGGTTTAGTGTGTGTGTGTGTGTGTGTGTGTGTGTGTGTGTGTTTGTATGTGCATGTGTTTGTCTTGATAGATTCTGTGGTAGGCACTAGGGATACAAGTATGAATTGCTATATTA